AATAAATCCTTTATTTAGTAGGAACATTAAGTTGATCTGCGGTTGGGGGTAAAAGTATACAATATGATCAAGCTTCCTAGTATCCAACATTGTATCCTTTTGATATCTACTTCGATTGAATTTCATTCTTGTTACATCATCACGCAGATTCTTCCTCTGATTCAGAAATATAAAGCTGTCCATTTAAATAGAACGGATGCTCGCCTCGCCAATAATGGTCAGCCCATGGAGATTCAGAGGCTTCGCTGCCGAGTAAACTTTAATGCTTTGAGGTTCACTCCTCAGATTGAAGAATTGGGCAGAAAAGTAATTAAAATACTTAGGCAAAATGGTCCTTTCATGGTACTTCATCTTAGATATGAAATGGACATGTTAGCCTTTTCTGGGTGTACTCAAGGCTGCAATAAGGAGGAGGTGAACGAGTTGACAAGAATGAGGTTGGCTACTTCCTTTGTATTGTTGAAGACATAATTTAAATACATGACAGTGTTCCCTATTTAATAGTTTAAGCTTTTAGATGAAATAATTTAATATGGTACTAGAGTATATAGAGGTCCTAACTTCAACTTGTGCTACCACTCATTTATGAAAAATTGTGACACAAAAAATTGTGAACGCGTTATGCCTTTGATCTGACTGCACACGAGGTGGCATGTTGAAGATATTAGTTAGATTATTAAAAGTACTTCGTCGTTAACAATGGAAGCTTTTAAATAAGATGGTTCAATAGTATTGTACAAGTTTCTATATATATATATATATATATATTGTTGTTGTTGTTTTGCTAAGCTTTCACCTCTCGCCTCACCAGATATGCTTACCCGTGGTGGAAAGAGAAGATCATAAACTCTGATTTGAAAAGGAAAGGCGGTCTATGTCCTTTGACACCTGAGGAAACTGCTCTCACATTAAGGGCATTAGACATTGATCGTAATATCCAGATTTACATTGCTGCTGGAGAAATTTATGGTGGACAAAGAAGAATGAATAGACTTGCAGCAGCTTATCCAAACTTGGTAAGTAATAAGCAGAGCTAACAACTAGGATTTGTAATCGACAAGTGTCTTGTTTTTTCGTCACGTGTCTTTTGTTTTATTATAACAGGTTCGGAAGGAGACATTGTTGGAATCTTCAGATCTTAGGTCATTTCAAAATCACTCGTCTCAAATGGCAGCACTCGATTATCTTGTTTCACTAGAAAGCGATATTTTTGTTCCTACCTATGACGGAAATATGGCTAAAGTTGTTGAAGGCCATCGGAGGTAATGATTTTGTGATTATTTGACTTGCGTTGAAAATAATTAGAAAGAAGATTTCAACAATTTGCACTATATTCTCTCTCTTTTCTCTGGGTAATTAATCAAACGCAAAGGGTGCAGAGTCAAGTAGGATTTACGACCACAATGAAGTTTGAACTCATATCCTGAAACTGATTCTTTTTAAGCTCGGATTTATTGTAATAGTTGATTTGTTAAGTTAAAGTGTATTTCGTAATAGTTTTAAGATT